GTAATAATGGTTGGGATAGTTACCTTGTATTTGCTGATTTAGTTCCATTCTTCCCGGACAGTCATACCTGTATATATTTCCATGAAATCAATACAGAAATTATTCATTCCACAAATATTACCTTTGACACCTTACTAGTGGTATCAGAGCCTTTTGATCCTTGAAGCCATGGCCGACCAAACCCCCTCAACCAACGCAAGCAAGACTGCAATCACCACCCCAGCAACCATTGTTACTCCAGCAGCCATAACCCCTACAACTGTTGGAAACCCAAACAACAATCCAACCAATGTCATCACTTTCAATGTCGCTATCCAATTTCCAGTGAAACTCACCACTGATAATTATTCAAGCTGGAGTAGGCAATTTATCTCACTACTCAAAGTCTATCGGCTGTATGATTTTTTATTAGGAACAAGGTCATGTCCTCCAGTAGACCACACTCCAGATTCACCCTATGATGTTTGGGTGAGACAAGATCAGTCCATTCAGCATGCAATCATGACTTCAATTGCTGAATCCATTCACCCGTATGTGGCCAGTACTGAAACCGCCAATGAAGCATGGACTGTGTTGGAAAGACTCTATGCAAATAATTCTCAGACCAGAATTGTGGCACTCAAGGAACGATTGTCGAATCTCAAGTGTGAAGGTAGAGCAATCACTGACTACTTGCGTACGGTCAAAGAGCTTATTGATCGCATTAGCCGTGCAGAGAAAACACCCCTCTCCAATTCAACAATCCAAGTTCACTTTTTGAATGGTCTCGGATCAGAGTACCGAGAGTTCAAAGCCTCCATACGAGCTCGAGATGGACCACCGCTGTCCTTTGAAGATTTGCAGGACAGATTGTTAGCCTATGAAGAGTCCCTGCAGTGAGAAGACTCTCGCCAAGAATTGCCAGCCCCACTCACGGCGCAATTTGCAACTGCCAATTCCAAGTTTAATGGCAGACGTCATAATGCTATGAGCAACCTGCAGCCAACCTCCTTCAATCCTTATGGAGATTCTTCTAATCCTTATGGCAGTGTATTTTTCTCGGTTACTCCGTTGATCATATGAGCTATAAATGCTTTGATCCTGTATTTGGCAAGCTTTTTTATTCACGACATGTTGTCTTTAATGAGCATGATTTTTTCTACAAAAAATCCCCCAACCTTGCTTTGGATGGTGGCACTCAATCCTCTGCTAGTTTGTCCAAATCAGATGCTATTTTTCCATCAAGTATTATTAGCCCTCAAGCATGCTCTCATGGTGCGGCCCATTCATGTGACAATCAGGTAAGTTCTTTCATTTCTCATCCTTCTTCCTTTAGTCCACCTTTGGCCCAAAGCTCAACCCACTTGCCATCTCCATCTAAAACCCATGTGCCTTCCCGTCCACCTACCATTATGGATCCCAATCCACCGTCATCTCCGACCCACCTTCCCTGTAGCACTTCCACTCCGGCTCAATCTTTATCAAGCCAACCTACGGCACCTAACTCCTTGGCAGCCTCCACTTCACCTCACTCCAATACATCTGCTACCTCATCCGATCCCTCTTCCTCATCCCCAACATCTCTTCCCCCTCCCATTGGACCTACGCGGACTCACAATATGACCACACGTTCTCAGAACAATATCTTTAAACCTAGAACCTTATTCCTTGCCACAAAGCACCCTCTTGACAATTCCATTGAGCCCACTTGTGTTAGTCACGCCTTGAACAATCCTCAATGGCGTCAGGCCATGTCTGATGAGTTTAATGCTTTGGTTAGACAGGGTACTTGGGAACTTGTTCCTCACACTGGTGCTCAAAATGTCATTGGCTGCAAGTGGGTGTTCCGTGTCAAAAGGAATAAAGACGGTGGTATTGAACGGTACAAAGCACGTCTGGTAGCTAAAGGTTTTCACCAACGACCTGGGTCGGATTACTTTAATACCTTCAGTCCGGTGATCAAGCCCACAACCATCCGCACAGTACTTTCATTGGCTCTAAATAAACACTGGCCTATTCGCCAATTAGATGTTAATAATGCATTCTTGCATGGGACGTTGGAAGAGGAATTGTTTATGGAGCAACCACCAGGCTTTGTTGATAGCTCTCAGCCCCACCATGTCTGTCGCCTTCGTAAGTCCATCTATGGTCTCAAACAGGCTCCTCGTACTTGGTACAAAGAGTTTAAAACTTTTTTACTTCGGAATGGCTTTGTGAACTCACGGTCAGACTCTTCCCTCTTTATTTTTCATCATCAATCAGACTGGGTTTATTTCCTCATTTACGTTGACGATATTATTGTTACGGGCAGTACTGAGAAGCTGGTTGAATCAATCATTTCCTTAATGGGTGCCACCTTCTCTATCAAAGATTTGGGTTGCCTTAATTATTTTCTTGGTGTGAATGCTATCTTTACTAATGCTGGTCTCTTTCTTTCACAAGCTCAATACATTCGTGAGCTTTTGGCAAAATTTGGCATGCGTGATGCTAAGCCTGTGCAATCCCCCATGTCCACTGTCTCGTTGCAGTTACATCAAGGTAATCGGCTCCCTGATGCTCAACCGTATCGTCAAGTCATTGGTTCTCTGCAATACCTTGCTCTCACTCGGCCAGACATCTCCTTCGCTGTTAACAAGTTATCTCAGTTTCTTCATGCTCCGTCTGATGTTCATTGGCAAGCTGCGAAGCGGATTTTGCGATATCTAAAAGGTTCCTTATTTCATGGTCTTCTTCTTCGCCGGCAACCCATATCTCCTTTACATGCCTTTTCTGATTCAGACTGGGCTGGTGACAAGGACACTTATCATTCTACGACTGGGTATGTGGTGTTTCTCGGTAGCAATCCCATTTCTTGGCGTGCTTGCAAGCAGAAAGCTGTTGCTCGAAGTTCTACTGAGGCGGAGTACCGTGCACTTGCTGCTGCCTCTTCTGAATTGGTTTGGATTAAGCATTTACTTCATGAACTTGGTCACCCTGTATCTGAGTGTCCTACTGTTTATTGTGACAATGTTGGCGCTACTCATCTAAGTAGCAATCCAATAATGCATACTAGGATGAAGCATATCGCCATTGATCTCCATTTTGTCAGAGAACTAGTGGATAACCAGGTTCTTCGAGTGAGCCATATCTCCACTCTTGATCAGTTAGCCGATGGCCTTACCAAACCACTTTCCACTGGTCGCTTTGCTCAGCTTCGGTGCAAGATTGGAGTCACCGATGGGAGCTCCATCTTGAGGGGGCGTATTAAGGAAACAATCGGTGATTGAGCTGGATTGATTCTACTCCGCCAGATTGACTCGGTGATTGAGCTGGACTAATTCTACTCCGCCAGATTGACTCCATCCTTGATTGATCTCTCATTCAATATTGTATCTTTGATTTGATTCATATATTGTAATAATGGTTGGGATAGTTACCTTGTATTTGCTGATTTAGTTCCATTCT